AGCACACCACAAACACATACATCACACACATACATGAAAATATATAGGCACACACATGCATGCACACACACCATACACATATATGCCACATACTTACAGATGAGTGCACAAACAAACACATACACCATCTCCACACAGATCATCACCACATCTAAACACACACACACACACACACACATTCAACACACATGCACGCACGTATAAATGTTTCCCAAAGATCTTTATGCAGTGAGACTGTTCAGGAAAATTACTTCAGAAGGTGTGCCTTTAGGTTACTTCTCTTGCCTTTTAACTGATACTTAGAATAAATTAAGCTATCAAAAGGCACATTTAAAGGCACAGGCCTCGTTGATACTATCAATTGTTGTTTAGACTCCTTTTAATTAAGGCTCACTAAATTCTCACATGTTCTATTTTTATTACTGATCATTGGTGGGGAAGAAAAACTTCATGTCAAAGTCTCTCGGAGAGCATCTACAGATGGCTAACCTAGAGCAGCGGGCCTGTCTAGGATTCTGTCCTATCCCCTCATCAAAGAGCTTAGATACATCCTATTGCCAATGTGGACTGACCGAAAGGGGATTTCATGTTTTCTTTTGAAGTCACGTGGGTCCTTAGCACACCTAATTGTAACTTAAGGTCAGGATTAAAGTTGGAGTCTCTGAGGACTGCTACATGGCCTATGATTCTTGTAGTCTGGCCATTTATTATGGTAACAGCAAAACTGAGTGGAAGGTCTTGGACCATAGCGGGTCCTCTGATTCTACACGAGGCTCTGAAGATGATTACAGGGACATGACTTTAACATGTCGGAAGACAGAGCTGTGCACCAAATGAGGGCAGACACGGAGCTGCCTTCTGTAGCAGGGATGCTCACTTCAGATGGCAAAGGAGAAAGAGACTGTCATTCTCCCAGACACTCACCCTATGGAACAGGATGCCAGGGGATCCCAAACAGGAGCATTTTGTGAACCTGGTCTTGTTAGGATGGGATGGAGCAGGAGATGATCAGAAGAGGATCCAAATGAGAATACTTGGTCCAGTACCTTTGACAAAGTAGATGGTCAGACTCTGTAGGCTTTTCCTGGGACTAAATGATGAGAGGTCCCAGGGCACAGGTTCTGATGTAGTTGAGATGCAGGCTGAGTTTCTGCTTCCAAGGTACCACCCATGTCTCCAGAAGAGACAATAATCAACTTCTCATCATCAGCCCTCCCTGTTCTCAGTGCCCACAGCCTTTGACTAATTCTTTAGAGTCCCCTGAAGACACCCAGTCAGATTTAGGCTGATAGAACTTGTGGCAGGACATGTCCTCAAAGCTCTCAGATACACTAGCGTTTGGTTTTCTGGACTGTTCTGAACTATATTTTCAATACCTGACGTACAATGTGGTAATTTTTCCATTGGGTATTAAATTGTAGCTAGATATATTTACCTGGAGTGACTTCTGCCTATGCTCACATATTATATTGTGAAATGGACATTTGAACTCAACGGCAGTAGTGGCATTCACAAAATCATGGAGCCATTTCTGACATCTTAGAAAAGGACACAGAATTCCTGAAACAGGGTTTGCCTCTTCGTTGTGTTTATTTCCTTTAGCACTTGATTTAATTATGATAGATTATATTCTTAATGTTTTGTTCAGGGGGCAATGTAGTATCAGGATGATGATGTCATAGTTGGAGTTGGTGGAGGATGGAGAGAAGAGTCAGCTCTTCTCTTGCCTTGGGGTGAGAGTAGGGGTGGAATGAAAAGGCAGCCTCTTTTCCAAAGGTAGATGTTTCTATTACTTCATTAAAAGTAACGTTTTTCCTCATTATCCTTTACAGAAAAACTTTATCTGTTCATCTGTTCACTCACATACCTGCCCATCCACTTATCTATCATTCAACCACCATCTGTTCATCTATCAACCATCACTCATCCATCCATCCACACATTCATCCATCCATTGACCAACCCACCCATTGATCCATTGATCAACCCACTCATTGATCCATTGACCCATCCATCTATCCATTGACCAACCCACCCATCGATACATTGATCCATCCATCTATTCATCCATCCACCAATTAACTTACCTAGCCACCCACCCACCCATCTATTGATCTATCTATTAAATGATCCATCCATCCATCAATTCATCCACCTATCCATCTACCAGCATCTCCATTAATCTATCCATTTATTGATTCATCCATTTATCCATGGATCCATCAGTTCATTCTTCCAGCCACACAGTCATTTATTTCAGAATAATTTAACTCTGATATTTGTGCTATATATAAGCTCAAGAAAAAACCCACCTCACAACCACCCTACACTTCAGACCTTTATTATTGGTCTAACTACTTCTTCCTATAATCCAAGTGTTCTCGATACTTGATACCCATGGGTGCCAATGAGGTCACGTTAGTCTTAAGACATGAATTCCCGTCCTTTGGTTTCCCTAGCTGTGGTGGTGGCTCACATGTGGCACATCGTGCAAAGAGACACACTCTTGCATAGTGGCTAAGAGCAGGACCCGAGTGCCTACTCTTTGGGTGTAGTCCTGGCTCAGCACTTCTCAGTTTTGCCTGTGTAAAGCTCTGCTCTGTGTCTTAGGACATAGTAGGTAAAGTGAGACTGAAGAAGCTGATGAGAACACACACCTCATTAAAGACAGTGTCAGAATCCACAGAGCTGGTGGTGTCTGACGGTCCCAGGGTCTGACCTGAACCCTCTGCTCCTTAGTCCAGAAATACTTGTCACCCCATGTAATGGGACAGTAAAGTAAACATGTGAGGACCAGACTGTGGGGACTTGGAAGCTTCTGGGCACCCTCCACTCCACTCAGTCTTCCTTTGAAAATGTCACCAGGATTTTGAAACAAGATGCTTTCAAGGATTTTTTTTTTTTCTGTCAGGATCATTTTCTTATCTGAGACGGCATCTCTCACGACGTCTATCCCCTCCATTTTGTTTCCATTGTGCAAGAGCCGACATAAAAACCCTCCTCTTAGAAATCCTGAAAGAATGACTCTTTTTCTTCCTGTGCACATCTCATTCAGTCTTCCCCTGGCTCTAAAATGTGATCTTTTATGGTGCTAGGTGGCATTTGTGGCACCTGAAAGGTACTGGTGTTTAAGGCATTTAAAAATGATGGGCCAGGGCCTGCACCCTCTTCGTGCTTATATCCCATTTAATTTGTCTTTATTCTGCCCTGAAAAATCTCACCTTTCATTCTGCACAATTTCTCTTTTATCTTCATCCATCTATGAATTATTCAAGGAAGGGCTTAGATAGTGGGCTGGCTCATACCTGGGGTGGCAGCTGCGTCCCTGATTTGGGTGGTTTAGCTTCCATCAGGAGCCACACATTTACCAGCTTTGTATGACAGAGGACAAGCATTGGTATCAAATTAAGGGCAGACGAAAAGAAATGGCTGTTTGTACCTGTACATTTGCTCTAGGCAAGGAATGTGCTCTCTGACTTAAATTAAGCTGGCTGTGTTACAGCCTCCGCCTGGTAGGGGTGAATGCCATGGCAGGAACAATTGATATCTGGCTGGGGGTCGAACAATGGCAAGTCTATCGCTATAGAAACCCAAAGGTTCCAAATTAAATATGAAGAAGGGGCCAGCTTTCTGTGAACTTTCCTCCTGGTTCCTTCCAGAGAGGAGCTTGTCTCACAGGGTGGAGCACAGCGTCGCTGATCTTTAAGCTTTGCAAGGGCTGAAAGTGTTGGTAACATCCTGGGGGGCGGGTGCCCTTCGGTGTGCTCTCTTAGATAATCATTTCCTCGGGACAGTAAGCATTACGGGTTGTTCAACTATGTTGACATTCATATTTATCATTGATTCTGTTGGTTTACACTGATTAGAACCTGGATAATCCATGTTCATCAGTCATCATTGACTAATGACTCCCAAATTCCTTATGACAACATTGAACACTGAAGGGCACTGATACCCCTCCTAGGAGATTGTTTGTAGACTGGCCTGGGCCTCATGTATGAACTCTGATGTCATCATGACTTCTTAGGGGTCACTTCTGGTGATTTGTCTTTTCTGGTAGCTGTCTGTCTTTCCAAAACCCCTTTACTGTAGTGATGTTACAGTGGTAATTTCCACAGGACACAATTGGCTCCATGCTTCCTACTGGCCCTATTTCCTTCTCCTAGAAATTAGAGCCATTGCAGCCTCTTCTTGTCTTCTCAAACTGATGCTTCCTGAAAATTGTCAAACACTTGGATTGACAAGATGCATATTCCTCCATGCATCAAAATAACCGCATAGGCCACAATAAGCTTTGAAGAGACAGGCTCTCTGTTTATATGCATTTATGTATGTTTTATATATATCTTGAGAATGCTCAAGGAATCTCCCAGACTGAAGCAAATCTAACCTTAAAAGTTATTTCTTCATACTGAGTTTAATTAGGGATGACTAAAATTAAATATATGCCTGAACAAAAATGTCAAAGAATGAAAATGGTATTAAAAATAGCTCATAATGTTTTTCATACTTCTTGCCAAACTGGACAAATGGAAATACCCGGGACAGGCATAGACAATGATAGATAAAGTGGATTAGCAGTGGGGAGGAATGAGCAACATAAGAGTCCCTACAGTGAACGTAAGAGTCCCTTGTGCCTGGTGTGAGAACAGGGTGGTGTGAGGCCAGCCTCGGCAGCCTTGGGGTTGGCACGCAGCCTTGGCTACTTTCCTTCTGTTTGGATAAGGTTATGTTCAATCAGCAACCCTCACCATCTGGCTTTTCATGGGGCTTCTGAGCTGTCTTCAGCCAGCAGTGGGCACTGGCAAGCGAGGCGGTGGGCAGCTTCAGCAGTCCTTGATGGGAATCACTGTTTCGTGGTCTCGCCGGCACCATACTTTAGAAGTTATGGTAACTCTGAACTCAATGTGATATGAGAGATATTTGAATGAACAGAAAAGATGAAGATAATCCAAAATATGTCTGATCATTTCTTTTTCCTTTCTTAAAATGTTTTTCAGAGACAAAGCGCTGGAGCGACCAACGGAAAAGACAAGACTTCGGGAGATAATGGTAAGACGGCAGCAAAGGTCCTGCTGCCTCCCCACCCCCATCTGCGTCTCCCTGGGCATGTGTAACTTTGAACCGTGCCTTCCACCCAAACCGGCTTGCTATTTGTACCAGTGCTTTAGTTTAGAGTGGCTTTTAGCAACTCACAGCGAGCCTTGTGGTCCATCTTTGCAACGAAAAGCCGAACAAGCTAAATGTGATGCTAAGAGCCATTTCCCTCCCAGTCGAGAGGACTCCCATTTTGGGCAACATGTTAATTACAATGCAAATATAGTTCTCTGCTTTCTTCATTAGGGTTGGTGAGATTCCACCCAAGTTGTTGTGAGGCTAAAATGAGATCAAATGAGATAAGTGCTTTGAAAACTGTGAAATGCTCAACTCCTGGAAGGAGGATAGAGAACTGGGCTCTGCCCTCCGGAGCACCCAGAACCCAGTGCTGGTCTCTGCCGTGGTGCTGGGGCAGGGCTCCTGCTTTTACTGCAGAGTCACCCAGAAATAAAACCATAGGGTGCTGGGAACATACGCCTCCCTTCTCTCCAGGGTTCACTGGGAACAATCTTCAGGTGTAGGAATGAACTTCATATTTTATGGAAACTAAAGACTGGTTTGGAAGACCTGGATTTGGGGCAGAGAACACTGTGTAATAGTGAGCCCCTTTCCCCACAATAGCTGGGGACTACAGTGTTGTTCTGAGGATGCTAGATTCTGCATGTTCTTAAATTTTATGAATTATAAGACATGGTCTTCTTTATTAGAAAAGTTCTATTGCCTCCAACTGTGTGGAAGGGAAGCTGGTGTCCACCAATCAAAGTGTGGATAACAAATGAGACTCAAGGGGAGAACATCCCGTTGTACTGTCCTGGTCACGGACAGAGCTGTTGAAGTGACAATGACCTTATCAGAGTGGAGGATGAGAAGGAGGGATGCTGGGTCTTCCTGATCCTGAGGATGCTTCATTTTATGTCCAGAAAATTTTTGTCCCCTGTACAGGACTGAGGGAATATGCACGACACTGGAAGGAGATCAGAAAGTTGATGGCAGGGCAAGAAGGAGGAGGAAGGTTGACACTATTGGTTCTAAACAAGGAAGGGTGTCTGTGTATCGAGGAAGGGCGTCTGTGTATCACAGAGAACTATACCCCACTGAGGCCTCCACTGATTTTCCTGGTCACACAGTTATATCCACCTGTCAACTGAAGTCTGTATCCACAGCTTCTCACAGCATCAAGACTATGGCCTTTACAGTCCACCTATCCTCAGGGTCACCAACCTGTTATAACTTCACTTGTGACCTTAAGTATGCCAGAAGACCTCCCAGACCTTTAATGCACATTGGCTTCACTAGAGATGGTCCCTCGTCTGGAAGTGAAAGTGAAGAAGTTTTCAAAGCTTGCTTATTAATAAATAGGAATAAACATTCTATATATCAATTCAGGAGACTTTTATTTATGAAAACTTCCTATTTCCAAAGCATCAGTTCTATCTAGTGCTGAGAGCAGCGGTGTTTACATCTCTTGCTGATGTCTGCCCGACAGAGACCTGCCGAGTTTTCCTGTCTGCTGATGCATGCCTTTTGCAATGCCCCATGATGTGCAGCCTCTGGAAAATTCCACCGTGTACCTGGGAGGGAACACGGTTTTAAGAAGGGAATAAAATCTTTTATTGTTCAACTGCATCCTTTATAATCTCTTTTATGACATTGTCCCTAGCCCACACTTTGAGTTGCCTGTTCTTGTGTGAGCCCTGAGTAGCCTGGAGCCTGATGCTGAGGCATGGTGGTGGCTGGGTTGGCACCAGGTCTCCCGTGACCCATGCCTCTGTACACACACTGACTTCTCTTGACGTGCCACTGTTTCTTTGGGGCATGTCTGCATGTCCTGGGCTTTGTATCACAGGCATGATTGACCCTTACGGAGGACACACCTTTCTATCGTTTAAAAACTGCAGTTTCTGCCAGCTTTAATTTTTTTAATTAATTTTTAATTGTTTAATAATCATTTAATGTTTGAATTAAGAGTTGGTTCTCATCAGTAGGCATGAAGTGAGCCTCTTTTGTGGAGGTATAAAAATTAATCAAATGGAAAAAGTCAAGATACTATGAATAAGGTTTTTTTATTATATAAGCCTAGATCTCAAAAGAGATTTGCTTCTAAGTAGCAAAAATAAATTAGAGATTATTTGATAATTATAGGATAATGGCACTGTTTAAATCCATACTATTATAAATAAAATATTCCTTGCTTTGAGAAAAAGCTGCTTACATATATTTGTGTATGACATACTATTATTATATTAGTAAGCCTTTTGCAGGCTTTTATCTCGAGAATGAACAAGGACAAAGACTAGCAGGGCCCAAAAAAGACTGCGCATAAAATGTCCCAGGAGCAGAACAAATTTCCCTGAAGATTTTAAGTTACTTAATTTCTTATTCTCAAATTTCTGGATCTTGGAATTTCTGTTTTAGCTTAATATTAAATCACATTAAAATTCATTCTGTCAGAGCAATTATCAAGGGAGATCTATTATGTTAATGTATGTTTCCAGTTACTATCACGTGAAGCTGCCTACACGTGTTAAAGGAGCAAGGACCCACGAGAGCAGACCCGTGCAGCGTGAGACGCCGCAAGGCTGTGAGAACCACATCGCAGTCCTTAATTTTAAAAGGAGGATTTCCAGCTCTATTAGTGCTTACAAGCCAACATGCTATTTTTCTAAACATGGATTCTGTTGAGGCCTCTGTTTGAAATAGAAGGTCATGACAACTTTGGGAACGATCTGTGGGTCATGACGGTTTGTTTCATGAAACACGGATATAGGGGATTGCCTTCTGGGCTTGACTGACCTGTGTACTTAAGGCTGTCCCTAGAGGGCTAATGGCTAGGGACAAGATGTCCAGAAATGCTTGTTGTCACTATCATCATAACATCCATTGACACAAAACATTCTTTCCTATCCATTCTTAATGGATTTCCTATCCATTCTTAATCCATTTCTTAATGTCCTGGATGCCCCCTTACTCTCCTGAGGTATCAGTCCACAGAAGCCCAATGCCCCCTGTGTTCATTTTTAACTTTTTTTTTTTGTGTGTGTGTGTGTGTGTGTGTATGTGTGTGTTGGGAGTTGTGCACATGAATGCAGGTGCCTTTGGAGGCAGAGGTAAGAGATGCCCCTGGAGCTGGAGTTAGAGGTGATTGTGAATTGCCTGATAAAGGCCCTAGGAATTTAGCTTACATCATCCGGATGAACCATACGTGCTCATAACATCTCACCTTACCAGTCTATGGCTGGCAGGTTTTTTTTTTTTAACATTAAGATTTTGATTTCTTTGGTGTATACATCTGCTCTTGTGTGTGCAAGTATATGTGTGTGGAGGGTGTATTCCTTCACCTTTTTTCTTGAGACAGACTCTCCCACTGCACCTGGAGCTCACTGGATTTTTCTAGGTTTTCTGTTTCCACATAACTTTGTATACATGACTGTATCGAAAAGTCACAAGGGTTATGGGGATTGAACTGTGTCCCTCGTTCAACAGGCACTTTAACCAGTGGAGCCATCTCTTCAGCCTGGGCATTGGAATGTGGATGACCTAGAGATTTCCCTGGCTCTGTGGACAGAGCTCCTGGGGCCATCTGCTGAATCAGGCCCTGGGAATCACGGCCCCTGATGTAATTTTCCACCTCAGTGAAACAATAGTTCATGGCCCCAGTGACAGATCTTTGCAGTCTAGACAGAAAAATTAAATCCAAACATGTTTATAAATACAGATGCCATCTGAATGTACATAGCTCAGTACTATTCGCCTGTTTATTCTTGCAAAAATCATATCTCTTTTCTGGATGTTTGATGTGTGACCTGATATTGGTCACTCAGAGAGACCTGGTTTAAGTCTCTGTGTTGACAATGGAAGTAGAGAGACACCGAGAGGCAAGCAGCTTCGGGGAAGGGGGGGGACTTCCCGACGAAGGAGAGATTTATGAGTAATAACCCTTCTGGATGACTCTGCTGCTTGCCCAAAGCTAAATTGAGTTTCTAAAACTGGGACAGAATTCTCCTGACTTATCGAGCTATGATGAATTTGTTTCTAAAGATTCCATGTGAAGAGTGAAAGGCAGACAAACCCACCAGGTTGGAGAAAAGAGCAGCTCCCTGCTCTGAAGGGCAGTGTCTGTCACTACCTGGGGGTCACCCTGGAGTTGGGGGTTCTTTTATGAGGGTAAATAGTACAACACAGCCTCAGGTTTGTAGTCCAGAGGTGTGCCTCTTCCTTGGGGTTGGGGCTGTCACTGGGAAGTTTCTGGTAGCTGTGAGCATGTGCAGGAAGAAGGCAAGACTTTCCTTGATGGCCTGCCACTGACAATGAGGGAAGCGCTCTACTGTATTAGGTTCTGTCCTCTGCCTATCTTGACTACAATCCAAATAAAAGGAATTCAAGTTTATTTTACCTTTACCTTCGAGAGAATCCACCCACTGGTACATAAAAGAACATTGTTCTTATTTTTCTGCCATCAAGCAGGTAGGGAGAGTGACTGAGACCCACCTTAAACACACATAGGCATGTATACACTGGGCTTCTTTGAGGGCTCAAAGAAGATGTGGAATTCTCCTATGCATGCCTTGTGCTCCTTGCCCTATCCCCACCCTTATTTTAATGTCGCCCACTAGCCAGCAACAGTCTTGTCTTTGTTCTTGGTGCCTGACAGGTTATCAAGACCCACATACAGATGTGGGCTGACTGTGCCTAGGATCTGCTGAATCCATCACTTTTTGATTTGTACAAGCATGGGGTGTGAGGTCACATGTGCAGGGGTGAGCACGCGGTGACAGAGGACTCACATTCGTGCTCAGGAGAGAAGACCATTGTTGGAGGATGCTGCTGAGGTGACATTGCATTTGTGTCTAGGCTGACCTAGGAGGCAAGAGAATGAGATGTGTTCTCTAGAAAGGTGACTGAATGAATGTCTAAGACCCCGGGTGCTTCTCTGCGTAACGTGGCTATGCCTGACT